ATTCATCCAAAAAGCCTTACTTGCAAAGGTAGCGAGCGAAGGTCAAACAGCTATCCCTGTAGCGTTTACTGGTATTGCGGCAAGCTTAGTTGAAGGAGGACGTACCTTGCACAATTAATTCAAACTGCCTATACCTCTACTGGAGACGTCTGTATTAGGTGTGAAGCCTAATTCTTCGCATGGCAGATACCTCGATGGCGCGAAACTTATAATCATTAATGAAGCGAGTATGATACCTGCTATAGCTCTAAAGCAGGGATCACACGATTTGTACATTTGTACACAAAATGCCAAATTTAGATTTGTCCACATTTGCGCATTTAGATAGCGATGTACAAATGATTTGTTTTGCGATCAGACGATTTGGCTGCCAAAGATCCAAATGATTTGGCACACATTTGCGCACAGCAGTAAAGTGACAAATATTGTCCACATTCATTCACACAATTTAACCATTTGGTCATAAAAACTTAAACAGCTGATCCGGTGTCAACCATATTTTTGCATTTATGATTTCGTGAGATTTGAAGTGAAATATACAAAAATAATATATACGCACAGGTACTCGGAATTTTGAATACACCCTCAAAATCTGGGCTGAAAGTAAAAAACGCGTTTTTCATAGGTTGAAGCATATACTTCCTCGTAACTTTATTACATATGCCATTTAAGAGAAAACATTTTGTCGTCTACAACCATTTATAAATGGTTAATCTGTCTTGAGAATGGGCACCCAATGTATGTATACTAGTTAACAAAATAGTCGGACAAATAGTAATTTAAAATGAAAAAATGTTAAAAATTAAAATTTTCCATATACTCTGTAAGATTCCTTTCAGTGATCGGACTTCTACCACATTGTTGTAGATCTGCCACTTTTTAGAGCACATCTACCACACAAGGTTTGAAATCTACCTACATATTGTTTTTGAGTAGTTTTATTTTTGCTCAACATAATTTTCTTAATTTTAAGAGCAAAAATTGTCCAACACTAAACCCTAACAGGCAGAATGGGAGGATAAAACAAACTGTAAAATAGTAAATTTTCTCAATATTCAACTTTTCGACATCAAACGTGGTCTTATTGTGTTAAATTGCAAAATATATGATTTATAAAAAGAATTAATAGCGAAAATGATAAAAACCGGCGATTTTTGTGAAAGGATTAGCAAATTTCAGTGCATCTCAAAATTTTAAAGCGTTTTCTACTTTTACTTTTACTTTTACTTGAGAATTGTCAAAATCTGCAAATCCCAAGTAGCATTTCTGGGACGAGCCACATTTGTTCGCTACATCGTGATGTGATAAAAATAAAAGCTGGCAGCACTCCGCAAGGTTGCAGAAATCTTTCAAAATATGTTCGAAACTGTCAAGGAAAAAAATTGCCAAAACTCAACGCAATTTTTATCAACTTCACTCTTGCACTTTATTATAGTACAAGTAATTTTTAGCAAAAAAAATCCGACTTCAACTCTCATATAAAAAAATATATATATATATATTTATATATCTCATGATCCACTGATCGGATCTTAACCAGATTAGTATGGGACCACCTCTGAGACACTACCTTTCCGAGGCAAAAAGAATTATCGGTTGACGTGGTCCAAAGTTATGCGGTAACATACATAAAAAACAAATAAAAATAAAAATAAATATTCCAACAAACTGATAACCTCCTCCTTTTTTGGAAGTCCGTTAAAAATTAATTTTGTTTTAGATTATAATTAAAGTGTTTGCAATTTAGGTGAAACCTTGCAGATTTTTTTTGATTTTTGTACACAGTTTGATCCAAAACCTGAGATCTACCACTTTTTTTTTCCAGATTCTACAACAAAATTTTTTTTTTTAAGTCCGAAAACTGATTCCTTTGCCATTTCTTAAGATAAATTATCAATTTAAACATTGTTGAAAGCAGCGAAATGTCTTATCTTGAATCGCATACATATATACGTATTTTTCACCGGGTAAACAGAAATAAAGTTACGAGCAAGTATGCCTGTGCGTCACCCTTTGATAAACGCGGTTTTTGACCTTAAGCCCAGATTTTGAGGGTGTATTTAAAATTCTGGGTATGCAGATTTTACTGCTTGAATATACCTTCAACAAGTATGAACCTCGAAAAAACTATATATATTTTTTTTTTGTCACACAGTGTAATTTAGATCGTCTTTAATAATCTGTATATCGTAGTTTAAAGTACAAAACCGCGTATCAACAAAATGCAAAGCCGCCTATCTGAGGCTGAATAAATTATTATCTAGATAGTAAAAACACTCATATTTCAAAATGGTTCTCTTTTTTATAAAGCAATCGCATTTCTGGATAGTATATTTCAGGACGAATGGATAAGGATTGAGCCAACAGCTTCTGTAAGCAAATCCTATTTTTAGCAGCAAATGTCAGTTACGCGATTTTGCAGAATGACGATACGCGGTTTTGTACTTTATACGACGATATGCATCTATGTATATGTGTATAGCCAGCAAAAACTGCGGAAAGAGATCCGAAAACTGAAAGAAAGGTGAATAGTAAAGTGCCACGAAGGGTTGCGAAACGAATACTTTGCCGGTTGGTTTTCTGAAATTTTTCATTCTGAACTTCACATATGCTTTTTCATAGTTAATTATACTCAGAAATTAATTTTACTTTTATAAATACTTTTTGATATATTCGTCTGCTGGCTTAAGAACCTGGGACCTCATGAAAGCTTACAAATAGTCGCACGCTTCTCTGCACACTCTCACTCAGCCACTGTCGAATACGTATATGTACATGTTTTCAAATGTTCAGCAAATTGTTTCAATTGAGAAAATATTTTAAAATCATTGTTTTCAAATAAGGTGATATTTTTCGGTAGTTTTCGGATGCGAATATTATATAAAATATAAAAATTTTACCAAAATTAGAAAATACAAAGGTTCACAAGCACGAAATGGCAATACCGCTCAACAATATTTGTATATTTATCACTGGCATTTGTCATCAAGTGGCAAATCAGATATTTGGTCATTTGCGTAATTTTGATTTGGCTTATGTAGCAGCATTGCGTTCACACGATTTGGCCACCAGGTTTGGTTTTCATTTGCCACAAGAAGGCAAATATTTGGTTTTTCTGATCAATGACAAATGTAATTTAGCGTTCACATGATTTGTCTATCAATTTGACAAATTTTTAGCCAAATGTACAAATCGTATGATCCTAGCTTAACTGTCATAGATCGTATGTTTCGAGATAAATATGCGAGTTAATGAAGGCGAACACGAGTTTGCAAGCTACTTGTTACCTAAGGATGCAACCGGACAATCAATTCTTGATCCGCGTCTTTTAGGTCACGGCTCACCAGTTGATTTTATTTACGAAAATTTACTAAGTGACATAAGCAGTGGTGCCATACAAGGAAAAGCTATTCTTGCTCGAACAAATGAAATATGTGCAAAAATCAATTTGTCGGTACCTGAGCGATTACCAAATTTAGAACGTACATATAAAAGCATTGATACAATTATTTCCGAATAGTCTTGAGGTGAGTGGTCTTCCGAGACACAACCTTAAGCTGAAAAACGACGCCATCGTAATGCTAATGAGAAATCTGAATACAGCGAAAGGTTTGATTAATTTATTAATCTTCATAATAATTCAATCGAGTGCATAATTCTTACCGGTACAAGCACCGGTAAGAGAATTGTCATTCCGAAAATTAAGCTCAGCCCTTCAGAAACATTTCTTCCTTTTAAAATGCAACGCTATCAGTTTCCAATATCGCTTGTATTCTCTATGACAATAAACAAAAGTCAAGGGCAATCACTGAATAAAGTATCAGTATACCTGCCCATCCCCGTTTTCACGCACGGCCAGTTATATGTTGCTCTAAGTCGTGCTAGATCTTTCGAAGGCGTAAAAATCTTTATAGGAGAAAATGATTTTCAGAAAATTTTACCAAATAATGAAGGTTTTACTACTACAAATATAGTTTTTTCAGAACTAGATTAATGTATTGTATTTTCTAATTATGTGAATATTTCAAATAAACAAACAATTTTTAACCATGTAGATACATAAATACATACATATATAATTCAAAATCTGTGCTGATGGTAAATAACGTAATGTTTATTATTATTTTATACGATGCAATTTGAGTTCGTTTGATGCAAAAACAATTTTCGCAAATTTTTCTAAATTTCTTCCGTTGTGAGAAATATCTTCACCAATGATTTTGACGTTTAAACGCCATACGGGTTTACTAGAATTTCTTATTACTCAGAGTACCTTCAGCGGCACTGATTTTTATTTTTTAATTTTTACTTATAGAAATCAAGTTTAATCATTATATTTTGAGATTTACTTTTTACTCAGAAAATAATCATTATGTTTTGAGTTTTATTTTTTGCTCGGAAAATAATCGTTACGTTTTAAGTTTCATTTTTTGCCCGGAACAAACTCGTTACGTTTTAAGTTTTTTTTTTGCTCGGAAAATAATCGTTATGTTTTGAGTTTTATTTTTTGCTCGGAAAATAATCGTTGCGTTTAATGTTTTACTTTTTGCTCGTAAAATAATGGTTACGGTTTAAGTTTTATTTTCTACTCCGAAAATAATCGTTTCGTCTTAAATTTCATTTTTTGCTCATAAAATAATCGTTATTTCTTGAGTTTTATTTTGTGCTCAGAAAATAAAACTTAGTTTTTGCGTATGCGTATGCGTGAATGCCTAGGGCCTTACTATATGTCACATAAAGATCCTACGTACAGCGACGAGGCTTCTCGAGTGCAAACCGATATTAAACCAATTATAAAAACTTTCGTTTTGCGAAATCTAAATACTTGTTTAGTGCCATTCTTATTAACAGTTACAAAAAACTTTTAACTAAATGTGTTATTTACATATGTGATCACCACTGTATGTATAAAAGTATAAATGATGCTAATTAAGGAATATACAAAAATCTTAACCTAAAACTTTTACTCACATGATCTACAAAATCATAACGGAAAACATTTCCTTCAACATTTTTAGGAGCTGCGTTTGTATAGAAATGTTTACTCAAAATTATTTTATATTCTGATTTAGTATCTTCAACTGTAGATGACAATAGCATTGTGCATTTTGATGATTTTACTTTTGAATCCAACTGATTTTCCTTAAACATCTGATCTATGTTATAATATGGAAGTTGGTGAGAGCGAGGTATGTCATAGCTCTCTTCAACAAGCGAGCTGGCTTCTTTTGGTCCAATTGCTGGTGAAGTGTTTTCTGTGTCGGATAGTTGAGACATTTCCTTTGATGTTCTGTATTTAAACACAAATTTACGAAAAAGACCACAAATTACGTCACAACATACGCAAAATTACCTTTCATTTTTTTTAATATCTAGGGACAAATTTCGTGTATTTCTCCACTCCTTGACTTTATCGCATTGTTGAGATTTTGTCCCAGAATCTACATTATATTTCAACTCGTTTCCTTTCTCATTAACATCATCAGGTAATTTAGAAAATCTTTGAGAGTAAGTCAAAACAAATGATTCGTTCTCGAGAGAGCTGTCAGAAGGAAGCGTACTGCGATCTAAAAAAAAAATGGGTTTTATCCGTGGTACAATTACACAGTGCAACAATCAAAAAGTGATGGGAATGAGACCAATCGCACTCATTAAAAGAGGTCAAAATATGAATAAATACCAAAGCATTTGTAAATTTTCTTTTTATATCGATTTGATGTTGGGAATTTAAGGTTCAAAAATAACCTAATAGTACATTGATGTTTTTTTGATTTCGCTCACAAATTTCATACGTACATACATACATACATCAACATATCGTCACCTGAAATGCAAAAAGACGTAACAATCATCGCCGC